TGGAGGTTTCCATGACGGTGCCAGATGGCGCCAGTGCCAAGTGCACATGTCATACGTAATCGGGACAATCGGTATCCTTTGGATGGAGGTTTTTACCGAATACCAATATACCAAGATAGCGTTCGAAACCAACTTTGGCCACTCATAACTTCCTTGGCAGCTTCACGTAGCAGCTTTGACTTCTATACATTCTAACCAGCCTTGCAGGCTCTATGGATAACTAGGTTTCAATTTAAAGTTCCATGGGATGTTAAAAGGTTCCCTGGTGAAAGAATTAAGATGGTGACATATTGCGCTCTCGGTTGCGGACCTGCTTCCTGCTTTGATCTATGGTACACTTACACGTTGATTTACCCCTAGTAAGTGGTCAGCCAACATCGTCCATGACTTGAGAATCATTTTCCTCTTTAGTAGTGTGACTGCGGCCCATTTTCGATCCCTTCACCTGTGGTTCATTCCGAAAAGAATGTGAGCTCATTTAGAGAATTTCTCTACCCGAGTGGGACCTCTATGCCCCCACTAATCACTTCACCTTTACATCTTCAATCGCTACGCCCGGTTTTCGGGGCTGTTCTAGAGACTTCCGGGGTCGGCACCGTCTACCTAGGCATACATCTGTGTGTATCATTCAACGTAGGCGAGACATCGCCTAGCTTATGTGTGTTCCGTACGTGCCATGCCTCAACCATCATGCACTTGGCGAGGCTTCCCATGCTCTCTTCTCCAGCCAGCTGCTTCAGAGAATCCTTTTACGAGAAATGGCCAAAAATATAAATCTAGTAGATCTCTGGGCACGTCACAGGATAGGCGAGTACATTACGCCACCGCCGATGCTGGAAACGTAAACTGTAGGGACAAATGAGTTTTTGGTGTGTAAACAGGTGAATCGCACAGCTTTTACTCTAATACGATAGCTCGGACTGTGATCGCTATCAGTGATCGACGATGGCATGAGAAAGTTCACAGAGGGCCAATAGAGAAAAATTGCACGTCGCACGCTTCTACGTGAACCTCTACCCCACGGAGTCGCCACTATTTGTCGCCGAGTATGACCGCAGTTAGAGCTATTCCCACAGGAAAGAGATGTCGTGAAGACTACTAGCTGTTGGTTATTTCGCTTTCGATTATTTATTATATTATTTTTA